AAATAATAATAATAAAAATAATAAAAAATAAATTAAATTAAATTAAATAAAAGTAATTCGCGAAAGACAGACAGATGAAAAATGATTATTTTCTTATGCGATGTGTAACAGGCCCAGCAGCAGAAATTGTGCAGGATCATGGGCACGGATGCTACCACCTACGCATCCTGCCGCGAAAGATATTCTATGCAAAGAAATCCACGAAGTATGTGGAGATGTCGTACCTATCAATATGGTGAAAGGTATTGGCCATTTGAGAGACCCTCGTCTTAACAAGGTACTTGAACTCTTCTTATTATTTGCCAATCAAATTCGTCTTGTTAAATATTTTTCTATTCTTTGTTCCTTGGTATCTTCTATTTAATGTTCAAGTCAAGACAAATATTTATTCAATATTGTCGCGTACATATGTTTCTGTTATGTAAACAGAAAAAATTGCGTAGATCTATTCTGTGCTTTGTATTCTGTTCAAATTCTAAATTTTAAACTATATTAAAATATAATTTCAATTTTTGTTAAATATGATTTCACGTGCTGTGTTATAAATCTAGTTTACTTTCTTATCCCTTGATTTTCAATTTATCTCGCATGCTGTTTGCTCTATTGATTGACTATGAGATATTCAGTTAAGATTATTCTTCGAGTCTCAACTTGTAATTAATGGCACTTATTTTATTGCGCTGTATACTGTTCTTGAAATCGCACATACTACGTAAAAATAATTTTCTAATATATTTGTGTGGTAAATCTAGAAGATTTGTTTAAATTTTTTTTTTTTTTTTTTGATCTTAATCATTCATCAACAAGATCGAGAAAAGAAACAAAGAATGGTGATTATTTTTTATCAACAACCAAGTAATAAAGTTTCCTCATTTACATTTTATCTGTCACAAAAATGTACTTCACTAAGGAAATACATAAGATTATAATTATTTTTACGCAGGGTCTGGCATTTACTTTACAAGAAAGAATATCCTTAGGTATACACGGCTTACAACCACCAAGATTTAAAACTCAGGAAGAACAGCTGGCTCTGTGCAAGGCTTCAGTCATGAAGTACACTGAAGATTTAAATCGGTATCTTTATCTCGTGGAATTACAGGTAAAATAAAATAAGAAACAATTTCACGTCTCAAGAAAGTCTATGAAAAATTCAAATTGTAGTTCATGAATCGGTCGCTACAATATTTGAATAAAAGTTCAGATCTTTTGCTTGAAACATTTTTTTTTTTTTTTT